TGGAGCAGGTGGAGGAGACCACTATACAGGGCCTCAAGGAGCTGGGAGCCTTTGGTCTGCAAGTGCCCAGTGAATTGGGTGGCGTCGGCCTCTGCAACACCCAGGTGAGGGAGCTCCCTAGTGACTCCCCAATGTCCAGGTCCTAGTCTACTCAGCTTGACAGGTTTAGCTCCTCCCTCACCACTGGGGCTAAGGTCTCTGCCAAGCAACTGCTCTGGGGGCCTGTGTTGTGTATACAACCCCTCCAAACACAACACCAAACTACATACAGCCCCTTAGGACCATGGATCTCACTCAAGTTCCCAAATCCTAATGAATCTCTAAGGGGAACTGCTTAACAGGTAGGAGAAAAGCCATCAAGACCTGGAATGGCCACCAGCCAGCCAGTGGCCTCCTCTACCACGGTCCCACTTCCTCTCCCCTGGGAATGCCCAGGTTGGGCCCTGCCCCGCTGCCCATCTTTCTTACTAAGGGCAGGTCTGCATGGCCAGTTACAGCCCTAGATGCCTGCTCTCCCTCCAGTACGCCCGCTTGGTGGAGATCGTGGGCATGCACGACCTTGGTGTGGGAATCACCCTGGGGGCCCACCAAAGCATCGGTTTCAAAGGCATCCTGCTCTTTGGCACAAAGGCCCAGAAAGAAAAATACCTCCCCAAACTGGCATCAGGTAAGGCAGGCCTACTGTAGCCCCAGAGATTAAGGGTGTCCTGGGCTTGGCACAAATTAAGCCAGTGCTACTATGGGGTGTGTTGGTTGACAGAGATTTTTGGAAGGCATGACAGTGCTGGTAGGCAAATGGGAAGAAACTGAATGTTGCCTGAGGTGTTGAGGGGGGGGAGCACTGAGGGACCTTCAAGCCCATCAAGACCCAGCAGTGGGCCCAGTGTAAATGAGCTTTCTGCCCAACAGGGGAGACTATAGCAGCTTTCTGTCTAACGGAGCCCTCCAGTGGGTCAGATGCAGCCTCCATCCGAACCTCAGCTGTGCCAAGTCCCTGTGGAAAATACTATACCCTCAATGGAAGCAAGATTTGGATCAGGCAATCTTACTCCCATTTCTTCCCTCCTCTCCACCTCTGTCCAATTCCAGGCCACACTGCTCTGTCCCCCATGCCCTGACTGCCCTCATTTTTCCACAGTAATGGGGGCTTGGCAGAAATCTTCACAGTCTTTGCCAAGACACCAGTTACAGATGCAGCCACGGGGGCTGTGAAGGAGAAGATCACAGCTTTTGTGGTGGAGAGAAGTTTTGGAGGTGTTACCCAGTGAGTGGGTTTGGGGGGGGAGGAAAAGGGTTGAGCCAGAGATGGCAGTACTGAGCTGTGGGGCAGATGGCTGTTACAGGTCACCCTAGGGATGTATGCAAAAGACAACACAGCTGGACAGTGTGTTCCTTTAGGACTAAAACAAATGGAACTGACCTAAAGCTTTGGCTATAGCAACCAGCAAGTCCAGCACAGGGCAGGACAGGACAGAGCCAGGCCTCTTCAGCCCTCTGGGCATGCAGAGAGCTGTTGTCTGCAGGCTGGGAGTGTAGTTTCTCCCAGGTTCACAGGAATGAAGGGACAGTATTCCCTGCAACTTAAACACACCTCTGCTTCTCTGCCCTGTCACAGTGGGCCCCCTGAGAAGAAAATGGGCATCAAGGCCTCCAACACAGCAGAGGTATACTTTGATGGAGTACGGGTGCCATCAGAAAACGTGCTGGGTAAGGTGGGAGGCGGCTTCAAGGTCGCCATGCACATTCTCAACAATGGAAGGTTTGGCATGGCTGCGGCTCTTGCAGGCACCATGAAAGGCATCATTGCTAAGGCGGTGAGTACCCTGCTTTAGTCCCTAGATAGCCTAAATCTAAATCCCATTGTCCCCCTTCCCACGTGTCCCTGTTCCCTTGTAGGCAACCCCTCCACCAGAGACCCCTTCCCCACCAGCAAATCCAGACCTCCAGATAGCTTAGGTCTCCCATCTAGCCTAGACTGAACTCTTCTTGATTGTGGCCAAAGCCCAGCCCTCCCA